AAAAGAATTAAGCTGGACAATACTCATCTGTAAGAGTGTTGTTTGTAAGGGATTTGAATAAAAATCAGTGTTGGGGTTTTTTTTTTAAATACAGAAAATATTTTCTCTGATAACATTTCATATAAGTTCAGCTTTTGTTTTTATCATTCCACTGTGCTAATTTCAGCATGATCAGTTACGCTCTGCTAATGAAGATCTCCTGGCTCGTGTTGAAACACTGCAAAATAATGCCAAGCTGCTGGAAACTCAGATACTGGAGATACAAAGAGCCAAAGCAAAGGCTGACAAAGAACTAGAAGCTGAAAAGCTTCTGAGAGAACAGAAAACAAAGGTAGTACTTCACAGAGACAGCGAATGGGCTGAAGCATTACTTTCACTGGATATGGTTTCTGTTGGACCTTTGTAAACTGTGTTTTTATAGATCAGGTTCCACACTTTCCCTCCATGTTACTCGACTTTTTTGAAGACTTGGTCTGTTAATTGAAAGAACTTTGCAAGGCTGTCAGTTCAGGTTGGGGGTAGTTATACAGAATGTGAAAACCACTTCATATTACTGTTATTTTTCTCTGGTTCACTGTGATTTCCTAAAAAAGGAATCAACTATCTTTGTACAACACAAGTGTGTGTGTATGTGTGTGCGTGTGTATGTGTGTGAAGTATAGAAAGATGCTGACATCTGTTTTGAAATTGCACTGCATAATTGATAACTACTTAAATTTCAGGAGCATAGTGGTGCTCTCCGAGAAATGGAGGAGCTTCAGATGCAACTTCAGAAGGAAAAGAAACATCTGCAGAAAACTATGCAAGAACTAGAGCTGGCCAGAAAGGTAGAGTTGCTGTCCATGTTAGTGCTCAATGGACTACCCAAAATTTTGGCCCATCTGGCTGTGTTGAATTTTTGTTTCCCTTTCTGTTGTGAGGATTTTAAAGCCAGAGGTTTGCAAAAGGGAGAATGTGAGGGCTTTTGCCCCTGGCTGTGTGCTTGGAGAGCTGAAGTGTACTTTTGGGATTTGTTTTGCTTCTACTTTTTGTTTGTTTTTTGTTTGTTTGTTTAGCTTGGGTGTGATGGTTATGTAGCCCTTCATGAGTAGAAATAGGAATAGAATCCAGATGTCTGGAGTACTTTTATAGTGCACTGTTACAAAATTGCCTTGGTTGTAAGGACTGAAGATGACAGAAATTAATACATACAAAATACCTACTGATAAAACTAGCAATGTGTTTTTCAAACCGTTTGGTTCTCATTTGAAAACAGATTATTTTTCTGAGGCTGTGTAAACCCAGTGGATGGTTGGCCTTTGTGGATATGGACGGAGACAAAATCTTTGTCTGATGGGCAATATAGTTTTGTACAGAATTACAAAAACCTTAGCAGCCTTAACAAAGCTGTAACTTCGTTTTGTGTACCTTGCAGGATGCTCAGAAGAGTACAGTGATGGATATGGAAATAGCTGATTATGAAAAGCTAGTAAAAGAACTTAATCAGAAGATTACTGATAAAGACAGCAGAATAGAAGATCTTGAGCAAGAAACAGGGATTCAGAAACAGAAACAGGAAACCCTACAGGAAGAAATAAGTGAGTAAACTATACGCAGCAAAAGTTGCAATGGTATAGTGAGCAGTAATAAAAAATAAAATTCAGAAACAACTTCTTAAGTTAGCAAAGGAGGGTATGCTTTGCAGGGAGTACTAAACAGTTGCATTAGAAAAGCAATTTTGTCTTAGAGGAACCTTTACTAGATTCTCAATCACTTAATCCAGTATTCATCACTTAAAAGCCAGTTTGCCTGCCTGACATACTGTGTTTCTTACCTGATTAAGTTATTCATAAGTCCTAAATATTGGTGACTGACAAGGGCTTCATTCTGATGTACACTCATAAAACTTTACTGATTACCATGTGACTAAAAATTCAATTTCTTCCTGTGCTCAACTGTAAATCTTAAAAATACTTCACTTATAAGATCTTTGTGATAATTTAGGAAAAGAATACTAAAGTTACTGTAAGCCACTTATTTGCAGTTCTTAAGGAATCTGTTAGAATTTGTTTAAATATTTTCCAGCATTTTTAAGGAAATAAGAGGGGAAGTTTCCTTTGCATATAATTGTTACTTTCTGCATTAGAGTCACTTCAGTCAACTATGCAACAGGATGAGGAAAGAAATGCCAAGATAAAACAACTCCTGGTGAAAACCAAAAAAGAACTAGCTGATTCAAAACAAGCAGTAAGTCCATATGCTAATGACTGTGTATTCTCTTTTTAAACTAGATTTTAAAAAAACAGCTGGTAGTTAAATGTTTAAGTTACTGAGGCTTGGAGGTTTTTTTTAATATCCAGGTAATTTTGTCTTGCAGGAAAGTGACCATCTAATGTTGCAGGAATCATTGAAAGGGGAACTGGAAGCCAGTCAACAGCAAGTGGAAGCCTATAAGGCAAGAAACTTCACTTTTTTATTAGTACAAGTCTTCTTATTTAAGTAGTAAGGGTGTGATTTTTACTGGGCACATGGAATATAGGCTGAAGAATAAAGAGGTGCTATTTTTACCTCTAGTTTACTGGTTCTTTTTCTTAAATGAGTTTTGTCTCTTTGCTGCTTTTACCAAATATTTTTTTCTGTGATTTTCTGTAAGCAGTTTTACCCTGTCTTTTTCCTCTTTCCCTTTCCACCAAAGGACAGGACTATGGAGTTTGAAACTTGCAAATGGAATGTATTTTTTAAAGATTCTTTAAAAATGGAAGTTGCTCAGCTTAAAAACAGAAGAGCACAACATTGTCAGCAAAAATCTTAAATGTTGTCCATGTGTATACAGAATGGAAATAGATTGGAATGTTATGAAAGAAGCAGGGAAGGGAGAGGGGTTGGCTTTCTTAAATGCTGCCACCCCAGCATTGTAATTTTATCTTCAATTCTCTTTTAAAACAACATCACTTTTTAAAAATTAATTCATGGTATTCCATGTCTATTTTATTCTTCTACTTCTATTGGATTTTAATTTTGTATTCACCTGTTCTGTGCAGGAATTATTGTAATAAGAGTCCTAGGTTCTCATTGGCATGTTCCCTTAGAGAAGTAAGAAAATTTTTTGTGATAGTGAAGTTTTCAACTGACTTTTTCAGATTCAAGTGGCTGTACTGACATCAGAAAAGCATAAAGTTCAGGAACAACTGCGAACATCTTCAGAGCAGCACCAGCGTACGATGAGTGCTTGCCAGCAAAAAATTGCAGCCCTGCAAGAAGAGTGCAAAACAGCCCAGGTATTCCAGTGGAAGAAGTAATCTTAAAAGTTTAAGAAGGGAGATTACTTGCACTCTCTGCTTCTTCAAAAATATTTTGCAGATTTTTCACTCTTCTCTTTTTGTATGTCAGGAGTAACAAGCTACCCCAGTAATTGAGTGGTGGTATAAAGGACAAGCCTGTCCTGGTTGTTGTGTGTCACTTGGAGTGATACATCTGGAGTTGCATACTTCTGTTTTCATTAGGGAAAAACTTGTAATGGGGAGCCAGTTTTTATTTAAGATGATCAGTAAGTATACAGTCAGGGAAAAGAAAAGTCTTTAAAGGAAAGGGCACAAATGAAAAAAAGGAATATAACTTCCTTCATATAAGACAAATTAACACAGATACCACTTTAAAGGAAAAAAGCTGTGAAAAATATATTTGCAAGCACCTTTTAATATGCTACAATATGAGCATCTTAATTGGCAGCTGAATTACATGGAAAACTGACACTGTTGCTGAACTTTATTATTATTTCTGGGATTTTTTTGCTCATATAACTGTTTGGTGGTCCTGGAATTCAGTGTTTGCATTGAAGACAAACAGATTCAAAGTATAGTAGGACTGTTATGTTCAAACCACCTTTATGGAGATTACTTCACTACACTCCACTGTTGTATGGTAGGTGTGCATCCTACAAGTAAGCAGCAGCTGAATGCAACCTCTCAAAAAGACTTCTACATTTTAAAAAGCTGAAGTGAAATGGACAAACTTTGTGATTGCTGCTGCAGGAGGTTTGCCTTAGTTGTGCTGGTACACATGGGTCATGGTTTTAGAAATGTATTCATCATACCTGGTGCTTACAGTACCTGTCTGTGGTGGCTTGTTTTGTGATGTTGTGAAATCAGCAAGGTTGTAGATCTTTCATATGGCATGACTTGAACTTGTGGAATATTAGCTTTCCTATTTAGATGCCCTACATATGGAAAATAGATATTATTACAAAGTTATTAGCAAAGGAAAATTTCCTCTAAAGGAAATGTGGACACCAAAGCAGATAGCAGAAAACAGAAGTCATGCTGACATTTAAGGCTGTGTACCTGAGGAGTTACAAATATTCACACAGTTTGACAGGAAGAAAAGCAAAGGATTAATTTAAAGAAAATGGCTGTAAATGTACAGACATAGAAAATCTGGACCAGTGGTGAATCAGAGTCAGTTCTGTAGAATTTCAGTCACCAGTTCAGCTGAAGGGAAAGTTTCTGAAATCCTCCTCTTGGAGATGAGAGCATTTTAGTTACCTGTAAATGGGATTGAGCAATGAATCCATGAGCTTGTCCCAAGATCCAAGAAAGAAAACCTGTGTCACTGTTTTTTTTGTAGAGGAATCTGTAACATGAGTACTGGAAGGATGGCAATCATCTTTGCCATATAGTGTAGAGTCAAGGATGTAGTTACTATGATGTGAGGCAATTTTCTATATGTCCACAGAAACTCAAGCAACAGCTGAATTTAGAAGAAAAGACAGACCAAGCATCTTTAGTCAACTAGAATATTTTATCTTGTGCTGTGTAATACCATTGCGAGACTAACTTAACTCCCCAGAATTATGCATAACTTTATGGCACATTGGAGTGCTGGAGAGAAACAGAATTATAGCAGTATTGGAGAGAAACAGAATTTTACCTCTTTTTGTATTTTCTGTCATGTTTGCCTTCATTTAAAGCTGTTCATAGAACCCCTGGCTTGTGAATCTCTCAGCTGAATGTGGTTTTTGAATTTTCAAGTATTCTTTCTTTTCTTTAATACCAGTATGTCGAAAATCAGTGTCTCATGTTCCACATTATATGATACTCAGTTAAAATCTAAAGAAACATTATCTGTTACAGTGGTCACTGTTTTAATTATCTATTTTAAAGAAGGAAGTGCAGCAGGTGGTTTTAATTTTTTTTGGTGTAAGATGCATTTTATTATAGAGAAATAAAGGAGCAATAGTCAGTAGTATAATTTACAGATTTGTTTTCTGTGTGATAGGCTGAACAAGCATCTATTACATCTGAATTTGAGAGCTACAAAGTCCGTGTTCATAATGTTCTAAAACAGCAAAAGAATAAATCTGCTGCTCGGACAGAATCTGAAGGAGCCAAACAAGAAAGGTAAAACTAACATTTTTACTTGATCTGTAATCTGACTGTGGCACTGCCTAGCTGAACAGAAGAAATATTAGCTTCTACTGTCATATTGCTGTATTCATTTCTAGTAGCTGGGTTTGTCTTTTAAACCATGATTTTTATGTAGATTACCTATTGTTACAGTCAGAAGGAGAAGTAAGGTCTTGGAAAGTTTTTTATGACTCTCATGAGCAGAAATTAGCCAGCACATTCTTTATAGACTTGACATGGCGTTTTCTCTGATGTGAAGTAGCCAGGTGCCATTTGCAACTAAGAGGAAAAGAGCAGATTGGTTCACTTTAGCTGAGCTCACTTTGAACTTTTTCAGGAGTGAGTGGTTTAGTGTAGGTAAAGCTCTGGATGCAAATTCAGTCATCATTTCCAGTAGATTTATAAAATCCTGTATGTTGTATCATGGGAGGAAAGACTTGGAAGAAAACAGTTACACTGCCAAAAGTTCCCTGAAAATCTTTTAAGTACAGTCATAAGCCAGGTGAGTTTAGATTCGCTTCAGAAAATGTCTCAACTCACTGCAAAAGTAAATTAGTTTCTGTAAGTTATTTTTATAAGTCATTGGTGGCTGCCCTTGGTGATGGACTGGGCGTTTCTGTGTGAAACGTCAGGATTCGTTTCTGACCCAGACCTTCAGTCAGTACCGGCAATTGCAGACAAAAATCCACCAGAGGGCGACTTATGCCTTCTTAGAGGATTTGGGTTTAGGTCTGGTTTGGCGTTTTTGAAACATTCTTGCCTTTGAAGCAACCAAACCATAAGAATTGCATTTCTTTGTCTCTCCTTTTTGCAGAATTTGAAGAAGTTCTGGTATTGTTAATTTTTTGTGAGAGAGAGCCATCTTGGAAATAAATTGGATAAGTAATAAACAGATGGCAAATGGTTCCAAAGAAATTATTTACAAGTCTCAGCTCTAAGGAATAGTGAGATACACAGTTCATGAAATAATGGAGGTGTCTGTGTATATAAACAGAGAAATCAGTAAAAAAATAATGTGTGTGATTTAAGATTTTTTTTCTTCCTGCTTTTTCTGATTTTGAATTATTGCTGGCCAACAGAGTTTATCTGTTATGGACTTGATGCTGCCTTCTAGTAATTTGCTCAAAATCTACTCCAGTCATTTGGCCCCTGCATTTGGTCTTACTGAACTGATATGCATTTACTAAACAAAAAAAAAAAAAAAAGCCTCACCACTTTTGAGAAGAATTTCTTTCTCCCATCCAAATCCCATATATTATTTTTCTTCTGTCTGGTCTCTCCTTGAAGTACAAAGTGCTGTCAGTCATGCTTCCTACCCCAATAGTTTCATTCCCAGTAGTTCACATTGGGATGTGGCAAACCTATTTGTATCTATGTTGAAAGAGGATCTGATTGTTTCTGCTGTAGCCACATTCTAAGATTATTTTGGTCTTAGTGCTGTGTTGATTTATTAATAAATATGCAAATTGGATCAGCTATCCAAAATATTGTGGATATTGTATAGGTTCTGAAATAATGTAATTATTTTAAATAATAATGCTGTGTATTCTTTTTTCTTCCATGTACAGGGAACAGTTGGAAATGGTGATAGATCAACTTAAAGTTAAGTTGCAAGATGCTCAGCATAATTCACAGATGAATGCCTCTGAACTCCAGACATTGCAGTCGGAACATGACACCCTGCTGGAAAGACACAATAAGATGCTGCAAGAGACTGTTGCAAAAGAAGCAGAACTCCGTGAAAAGTATGGTCTCCTGGTGAATAGATAGGAATATTCTTTTTGTTTGAATTTTAAGATCTTAGCATGTATAAGCCCATAATAATACTTCACAAAGAAAGAGCATGTTGAGAAAGTTAAAGGAATTTTCAAAAGGATTGTTTGCTATTTTTCACAAGCCATCAGAAGTTTCTACAATGACTATGAAATAGTAGCTGATCAAGGAATTTGAGATTTCTGCAAGCTTACTATCTCTTAACTATCAAATCTAAAACTTAACATTTTTTAATCACATTGACTCTTTCTGAGTTTAATGCCCAGCACCACATTTGTGTTGTGCTGCTCTACTAAATTTTATGGATGTTTCCTATTAAAAAAACTAAGTTTTATGCAAAGCAAACGAGTTTACTGACAAAATATGCAGTTCTTGTCCACCAAGTGCCTTTCTTGCAGAAAGTACTATATTTTAAGTTTGTGCTTGCACCAGGCTTAATTTGCTGTTTCATTCAAAATGAAAGGAATCTGTTTAATCTGTATCACTTCTTGTAAAATCACATGAATACCTAATACTTAAGCTCCTCAAGAAGAGTCTATCATTGTTTCTTCTTCTCCATTTTGGGTACAAAGAAGTTCACATGAAGTATTAATTAGAAATTACAGATTGATATTAGGAACTATTGACTTCTTGTCATTGACTTTGTACAGTTTTATCTGTTCCTCATAGCTACATAATGAATCAGTGTAGTCTATCAAATTATGTTCTGCATTTTTCTGGAAACAATCCATTTCACAATAGGTTCCATTTACACCTAAACACTGGTCTTTTCTACACTGGCTCTGTTTAAGTCTGTATGCTTATAAAGGTAAGTCCTGGGCTTAGTTTTTCCATAAATGCATTTGTTTAATTGCTTGTGACTTTATTTATTTATCCAAAGATGTCTGAATTTTTTGTTCTGAAGTAAAAGTTGAGAGTAGCACTATAGCACAGTGCATTCATATAATAAGTAATGTGTAACTTTTTCAGTCTCAGATTTTCCCTGTAAAAAGAAGACTTTAAATGAAAATAAGTTGCACATGTAGTCATTCTAAGATAATCATACACATGAAAATTGAAGACAGCCTCAAACTGTAAAAATTTTGAAATATAAAACTTACAGTATTTTTCTGTTTGTGTCTTACTGTTTGTGCATGCACTGTTTTCAGGCTCTGCACAATACAGTCTGAGAACATGGTCATCAAAACAGAGCATGCCCAGGCATTGAGTCAGCTGACAGCCCAGAATGAAGCTCTCCGGAACAATTTCAGAGATCAGGTCAGGAATCTGCAAGAAGAGCACAGAAAGACAGTAGAAACACTTCAGCAGCAACTCTCCAGAGTAGAAACTCAGCTCTTCCAGCTCAAGAGTGAACCAAGCACTAGAGGTAACTTCCAGGCTTGAGTACCAAGTTTTCATGGGCTGGTTACAGATTCATGTACCTCAGTGTGAAGGTAAACCATGCTTATAGTGTTTGATTCTGTAAAAACACCAGCAACTGTTTCTCAAAAATCTACAGCATGCTGTATCAGCCCACAGATACCAAGTCAGGAATGCTTCTTTGTTACTATTTACTGTCACTTCCTATTTACTGTCACTTCGGAATACTAAGGTTCTTGAATACATCCTGAGGAGGACAACAAAGGTGGTGGAAGGGTTGGAAGGACTGTCCTGTGAGGAACCACTGAGGACTCTGAGTTGGTCTAGTTTGGAGAAAAGCAGACCGAGGGCAACCTCATTGCTGTCTTACAGATTGCTGAGTGGGGCAAGTGAGGAGGGATAATGTTTTAATTTATGATCAGCCTTGAAGTGGTCAGGCAGTTGGACTAGATACTTGTAGGTCACTTCCAACTGGATCTGTTCTGTTCTAGAATCTGCATCACTGATACCTATTCTGCAGTATTTGCATTGTCAGACAGATGGAGGGAAATTACTTTGTAAATACTTGGTGTTCTTCTTATCAGGTTGTCTCAGGTTTTGGAGCATGCTGGACATCTGCCTCAAGTATAAAGTGTAAAGCTAGAGAAAAGTGTATTGGAAGCTGTTTTAAGAATGCTTGTTATTTGTATACATGCAATTTATCATACTTGCTATTCAATCCTTCTTTCATTTTAAGACTTTACTGTCTTCAATCTCAAATGTTATTTTCGTATCTGTAAAGTTACTAATCAGGAAGAAGTTGGACATTTGCCAAGCAACAATAACAGTTTAAGAAGTTGCTCTATTATTACTGAAGTAGAAGGGTCATGCACACAGCAGTAGAACGGAAGAATTTACGCCTCCCACAGGACTGGTTGAAGCAAAAGTGAATTCAGTTTTGCATTAAAGGTGTTTGTTACTCTTACCATAGCTAAAACACATCTTCAGGGAGATGTGCATGAAGGTTTCATAGTCACTGAAATAAAAATTGCCAGTCAAATTCGGGTTTAGAACCAGACTTGGATTGGAATGGCCACTTGGAGGTGAAAGGCTGTATTTATTTTACTGTTATAAATGTTACGTGCATATCTGGCTTTTTCTTTTGCTTCACCATCCCCTGCATTTTGAGGACTATTTTATGTACCACTCTCAATCCAAGACAGTCACACGTAGGAAATAGCCCTCCCAATTTCATTCTGATATGAACATCAGTAAGTATCTTTCAGGTCCAGCTGTTTCAAATCCAGCAATGAAGAGCTTGAGAGAACGGCGGAACACTGACCTTCCTGTCCTCGATGTGCACACTGTCGCTAGGGAAGAGGGAGAAGGTATGGAAACAACAGACACGGAGTCTGTGTCCTCAGCCAGCACCTATGTTCAATCCTTGGAGCAACTTCTGAACTCATCAGAAGCAAAGCCTGGTAGGTAGAATGTGGCTTTCAGAAGTGCTTGCCTACATAGGTTGCAGAAGTTCATGCCCTCAAAATATTTTAGAGCATTGTGTTTTCATGCTTTTAGGTGTAAGACACAAGCTTAGTCAAGTGCCACTGAGTTTATACTGTCCTGAACTTTTGTAGGAGTTTTGTCATTGAGTAAGAACTAACAGTAGGACATTCCTACAAGTTTTAGTGATTTAAAGGTGTCATATTTCTGAGCTTTTAAAGGGAAAGACTGGGTGAACAAGTCAGTGAATAGTTAGAGAAATTTTTGTATTCTGGATGAGTCTCTAATAGGGATAATTAAGTGCTGATTTAACCCTGAAAGGATAAAATTTCTGTTCATCATAATGAGGCTTATTAGAACAGTACTTGATTCATAGGGTTTTTCTAGGAAAGTAAAGCACAGCATGAAAGAATGTTTTGGGAGTCCCCAAAAACCAGAAAAATACATGTTAGCATATAATCCAGTTTTAGAAGTCTATTGAACACTACATGGATAGCTATTGAAAATCTCAATTTATGGGTAGGAAACAAGGAGTAAGTTAAAACCAAGTATCTTGAGGTACTCTAGAGCTGCCAGCCCCCTTCTAATCCATAAACAAAAATAGATCAGAAAATAAGCATGCAGCAGCATTGATGCCTGTTAAGTCCACACTCTGACTTTGCATTAATTCTGTTCATAAGAAACTAATGAATGATTAAGACATTAACCAAGTCCTGATGCTAAGTTAGTATGAAGTAGGTGCAAGTGCTTCTTCCTTTTCTTAGTTTTCTTTTCCAATTAATTGCAGAACCATCTCAGTGGCAAGCAGATCTCACCAAGGATGAACTGATTCAGAAACTAAACACAACAACTAAGAGTGCTGATCACTTGAATGAATTACTTCGTGAATCAGAAGCAACCAATGCAATCCTAATGGAACAAATAAAGGTTAGCAGACACACAAGAGATGTGAAGACAGCTCTAATTTCCGTGGTCTGTTTCTTAGACCAAATGTTTTTCAGAAAATCTCTGTCTATAAAATTTTGGTGATGTAAAACTTAGTTTGGGAGGGGGTTTTATTCCACAGGTCTAACTAGTGCTTCCAGGGTCTACTTCAGTTTTTGGGGTTTTTTTCACTACAGTTTGTAGTTGGGTAGGCATGGTGGGGAGAGGGGACAGGAGTGTGGAGTAAAAGCTTCTACAAAAAAAACCCTCAAGAGTTTGGAAGTTTAATGTTTAGTAAAGGGTCCATACTATTTTCACTTAGATAAAAGCAGTAAGTACCAAGGGAAGCAGTGTTGGGTTTCTCTTTCTGTAACCCATTTTAGCTCTCTTAAGCTGAAAGAAGACACATGAACTCATGTATGAGTGAGTTTTCTGAAGACATTTCTAAATGTACTAAGCTTTCTCTTCAAAAATGCTTTTAAATTAATGTAATCAGATTTCCGAATTATTAAACTGTTCAACTGTTACTACTCTTTTATCACTGATACTGTATCTCTGTACTGCACAAATTTTATCAAAAAAGGCTATTTTTAGTCAATAATAAATTCTTACAACATTATTACATATTTTATTTTCACTGGATTTTCATCCTGTGTTAATTTCTTGCAAATACCTAACTCTTTTTACATC